AAACAAATCGGCAACCCTTAACATTGGAAGAAGCGTGATAGCCTCTGTCATGGCTGATATGAACCTTTTCCGGCTCCTACACTCCATCCCAAATGCTGTTATAGTTATTAACAGATTACTCACGGTTTGAAATACCTCTGTCATGTTCACCGGAGATCCAGCCGTTGTTCGAAGCTTATAAAGAACATTATGAGCCTCTTCATATCTGATGGAACCCAAGGATTTAACCTTCTTATTGCTAAGGAGCTCTAGTGTGCATATTTTACGCAGCTGTCTCCAATAAGGGCCATATGGTGAGAAGCCAATGCCACCCGAGTTGTAGCCAACCGTCTCAACAGCCAAGAGTTTGGGTCGGGAGGCTAAGAAAATATCATGAGTACTGAGTACCTCATGTGCAGTAGACGGACTAGATGCTACCACGAAGTTTACTTGGCCAAGCTTAATATGAAACAGAGGGCCATATTTTTGAGCAAGCCTATAAAATTTCCAATGGGTTTGCTCTCCTGTATTAAGTTGGTGAATGCTTCCTATGAACGGAATGTTAGAACTCAAAAAATCACATTCAATTTCAAGAGAAATAAACCATAGATTAGCGGAAGCGTACCTGAGTCCATTAGATCGATTGCACAAGGTATGATCTTCCAATCTGCAAATTTTCTAGAGTTTCCTTAGTTTCTTGTTGATGGGGTGCAAGAAAAGGGATGTGTCTTTCTGCAAATCGCAGACCATTACCTTTTGAAGTAACTACCAGGCGGTTAGAAAAAAGTTTTGCTTAATTCTAATTCTGCCCCTCATCAAATTAGAATTTGCACTTATGGTATCCACACTATAATATCATGACAAATGTGTCCAAAGTCATAAACTTAATTCTAAATTAGACCACAACAATTTTGACTTATTAAATGATGACCCAACACATTTATTAATTACATTATAGTCCCAAAATTAATCCAACAATCTCCCACTGGACTACATATGTATAAGATAAATGTGTCAACCTTAGTGCGCCCAAAATTTTGTCATCATCATTATAAAGACACATTACAATCTCGTCCATTAATTATATCAATATAGGATCAAAGCAGTCTTCGTTGTATCTGTCACAACTAAACCCATCAATGGTCACATATATCAATATAATCAAATGACATAGATCAATCATGAATGTGTGGAATGAAAATTACATGCAAGGTGGTCTGTCCATGTCAATTTTCAACTGGTCCTACTTTACTTAAGTGAGATCGAACCTTAACTGTCCAGAGTACACTTAACTGAATAAAATACATTATTTCTGATCAGAGAATATCCAAATATATTTTGTACACAAAATAAAACATAAAACTATAAAACACAAGTTAACAAACTCCCACTGAATCTAAATTCCCTCAAGCTCTATAACACCCATATGAGCAGTATGCTCATGAAAGACCCTGGGTATCAGAGCCTTTGTAAGGGGGTCCGCAATCATGGAGTTTGTTCCTAAATGCTCTATGTGAATCTGGCCACTCTGTACTCTTTCCTTCACAACAAGAAATTTGATGTCAATATGCTTTGACTTGGTTGAGCTCCTGTTGTTATTGGAATACAATACAGCTGATTTATT